GCCACTGTCCCTAACCATGAAAAAGACTCATTTCCGAATCTATCCACATTCACATGGAACAGAATCCGTTTAATCATAAATTAGAGAAAAATTGTATTTCTTCAACATATAGACACATTTTAAATCTTATAAGTGAATAATAACTTATACATTACACCTTATTATTTTTATCTACTTTCAACTTTTATTTATTTATTCAATTTAATTGTTCATTATTCTAAGTATTTCCGCTTTGTATGATCTATCTTTTTATTTTATTTTAATTTTATATTTGCATTCTACATCAATGTATGAGCATCCGTTTTCACTTTGTATTCATTCAACTTTTTAACCACTTCTCAATATTTAATCTCATAATTACATGTATTACATAATCTATGTACATTTTACTTCTTCCATTTTTGTTTTTATTCATATTGTACTCTTACCTATAATCTATTAATTCTATTTTATATGTAAATGTATATATTTATAATATAATATTTCATAGATATAGTATTTTTTCCCTTGTAACCATCCATATCTTCAAATGTTAGATACTGTAATTTTCTAGGTTTTTCCCCATTACTCAAACAAGTCAACAAAATCCCCAATACCTGCCCTTACCCTAATTTTCTAGTTCTAAGTGAAACTCCTAGCTAAACACAGCTGTAAGTCTCTATTTTTATTCTTCTAATTTGATTTACTTACTTATTTTATTTTATTTCTTTTTCTTTTCTTTCAATCTCTCCTGTAGATCTGTAGGAGTATATTCACATTTGCATATATTATATATTACACTACAACAATTTTTACCATCTATTTACTTCAGTTTAGGATCTTGTTACTTAGCTTACTCTCTTTATATTTTAATTTACTTACTGTTTATAATTTTAATAAGCTTATTCACATTGTTCATATTTTTTTATCATTATATATAACAACTTCCACGATTCTCTATATTTTTGTATCTTGTCCGTTTTGGCCCTGAAGAAGAACTGCAAAGTCGGGTCGAAACATTGGCTTTTAATGAAATAGATTTGCCACTATTTAGTCTATTTATGACCGCCACCCTGGACCATCTCCTTCCTTTAAATATTATTTAAAAGTTAGAAGTGAAGTGAATCACTTTGACTGTGAGGTAAAATTACCCAGTTTTTTTTTTTAAATAATCACAGTTGAATATTTTGATTTTTTTGAGTTTATACATATTTAAATTGAGATTATAAATAAATCTGTAGAATAGTTCTGGTTTTATTTATTTATTGTAAATATTTAAGTATTTTTTTCTATTTTTCCACGGGAGTGTATCAACTGTAATATAGATGAGTTCGAGCTCACAGTATTCCGAAGCCAATAAGGAACGATAAAGGTAAGACTCGTTATAATTTTTACAATTAGAGCTGACAGGCAGTTGACCTTCGTGTTATCAATCCGTTGTATTCTTTCACTGATTATTTTATATTTTGTCTGAGTGTCGTGACGTTCACTTTTCTAATAACATTTTCAATTTGTTTTGAATGAAATGTGAAGTTGTGAAACCCACTTAAAAACATATTCAATTGTTTCCCGAATATATACTTATATAGATGTATATCATCATTTCAAGTATTCTTGAAATTAAAGGTTTACAAAGACTCATGTCATGAACTCATTTTTATTTTATTTAGTCGTTATTTTAACTATTATTTTTTTAATTTTAGCTGTTTACGAAGAAACAACAAGGAGGAGGGTTATGTGTTTGGGTATATATATATATATATGGACATGCTTTTGACTATGATATGGATAAAAAAGGTACAACGTCCCAGAATAAAGTTCATTTTCTATTCTATTCTATATAGATATATATAAACTTTCACTTTGTTTTTTAATGTTTGTTTTGGGGATTTTTTAATTTCTCTTTTTAATTAGATTTTGGTCTGTGTATATAAATTGTAAATAAAATGAAAAATAATTTATTGTCTAGAGACTGATGTCCCTTTAGAACAAATTATAAACACAAAATAAACAAAACATGACATTTGGTCATAAATTACATTAAATATTTACAAAATAATGGATGATTAAAAATAAAAGTACAAGCTATGAAAAATATTATAAAAACTGAATACATATCTGTACCCCGGAAATAAAGAACACCATGTCCATTTTTTATTAAATGATTTAGTAACTAAGAAACAAATTTTAATAGTTTAAAGTTATAAAACATTGGCTTCCCTGAACAAATACAAAAATAGACATCGTGTTTTTACTTGCGGGGTACAGACGTATAGATCAATCAAACAGAGAGAAAATATCAATAAATAAACAAAATATATTATAAAAGTCGGAAGCGTGAAATGATCGCGGAAGAGTAGATTCCGAGAGTAAGCAAAACAACACACAAAACAATGGAACCCGTATCATCAGTAAATACAGTTACTTAATAATGCAGTGGGGACATATGGGGTCAATGTTTTGATTGGTTGGCCATATTGGTTCGTCTGGTTGCTCTATAGCCATCTCATAACTGTTAAATTTTCTTATTTTATTTTAGAAGTTTAACTTTGTAGTTTCAGGGATAGATTCAGTTTATTAATAGGTAGTTTTTATTGAATAGCTATACGTTTTAATGTTTAAAGTGGAAAAGCTTGATTTCATCTTCACAGACTCTTGTTTTATAAGTGATATTTTAGTTTAAAAATTTAATTGTGTTGTTAAGTATTGGATTTAGTTTATTAATAAGTAGTTTTTATTTAATAGTAATACATATTGGTATTTAAAGGGATAAGTGTGGTTCATTCTTCATAGACTTTCGCGAGTATACTTTAATTCTTTACTTTATTTATTAATTTTCTTTTTTAATTCAGTGGTGATGAAAGAAAAAAGATGAAAATTTACTTAGAAAATGAGGTCTTGAGCTTTTATATTCAAACTTGTTCTACAATATTACTTATTGTTATACCTTACTATTTTGAAGTTAAAGAGAAAATTAAGACGACTAGCTGGTTTAGCTTCAATATAAACATAAAAAATCACAAATAAGATAGGATTTTCCAACAATTAAATTGACATTATATATCGTCGGTTTATTGTGCAAAGTACGTTTTTAATAGAGGTGAAAGTTTAATAATATTTTTGCTAATTTCTTTCTTATTCGTTGATAAAAAACGCAATGAGTGCAGTATTATAACGCAAACGCTTTTAAGTGTCACATCGACAGCCACACATCAAAACACTCTATGGACAATTTCTTTGGAAAATGAGGTTTTTGAGATTTTCTAGTCAATCTTATTCTGGCGCATATTCTGATCCCTCAAAATGAAACCTACGATGATTTCTTCTCTATTGCCTTTTGTACAAACCTGTAATTTAGAACCAATTAAATTTTGATATGAAAAACGCTAAGTTAAAGTGAAGGTGATATAGATTGTGTCGTGTTGACCGAAAAAAACGTAATGGAATGCTGAATGAAAGGTTGTCATGTAAATATAGAATTTACAATGCGTTTTGCGCATTGATAACATTATTAATTAGCTTTATTAAAAGGCTAAAATACATTTGACTAATACGCTTTCTATTTTTTTTTTAAATTTCTAATAATTGGTGGGCACTTCTAACCCGGAGCTAATGAGCAAATGCTCTGGTTTCCCTGACCAGAGGCCGGCTCACTATGGAACTAAACGAAGTAAAGAAGAGAATGTGAAGTGGAAATATAATAATGAACGCCCTTCAAAACAATCGAAACCTCCTGGCAACTGCAAAATGAGCTAGTCTGGAAAAAAAGCTACAATGACGACGAATTCCAGATAATAAGAGACATAGAACTGATTTCATTAATTGGAAAATTTGGAGTCAAAAAAATACTCTAGTTTCATATTTTAAAAACCAATGAATCTTAGAAATCGCAAGAAACTCAGAAAAGAAGTGATCTACACATGAGCAGGTTACCTAAAATTTATCAAGGATTTTTGAATTAAACCATGTCCATCTGTAGCTGAGTAAGTTTAAAACGAATCTTTCATAGACTACCATTCCAAAACAAAAACAAAAATAAACAACATATTTACATATTCTCTGTTTATGAATAACTGTTTGGCACTTTGTAAGGCTTTAATAATACAAACGAAAATAAGAATGAAATCACTGGCAAAATTAAAATGTGTTTTATTCTGATGGTAACTTGTTTACAATCTGTTGAAACAAAATTATAACGCTAATACCGAAAAGCTTATAAACATATGAAATATGAAGGAAGGAGATGGTCCGGGGTGGCGGTCATAAATAGGCTAAATAATGGTAAAACTATTTTATTAAAAGCAAACGTTTCGACCCGACTTTGCAGGTCTTCTTCAGGGCTAGAACGGACAAGACACAAACAGATAGAGAATTGTGGAAGTTACATAATATTTAGACAAAAAATTATAAACAATCTGAATAAGCTTATTAAAATTATAATCAGTAAGTAAATTAAAATATAAACAGAGTAAGCTAAGTAACAAGATCCTAAACTGAAGTAAATAGATGGTGACAATTGTTGTATAAAAATTTAATAAAATAATTTTACCACCATTTAGCCTATTTATGACCGCCACCCCGGACCATCTCCTTCCTTTATAATGCAACGGTCAACTATTAAATATTCCATATGAAATATGGTTTATTAGTAAAATTTTGTTTCTTTGTTAGTTTGAGTTTCAAGGCTCAAAAACCTATGCTCATCAATATTTTGTTTATTTGTAATTAGTCAATAAAATATTGACAAGTGACAATCGGATAAGAACTGGAGTTGAGCCCGTTCCTTCGGACTTCATATTGAGTTTAAGTACAAGTATAGATAAAACAAAATACACCATTTCTATTAGAGTGTATCTACAGGATATATGAAGGAGATTTTAAGGAATACTTATAATATTATACATATTAATAAAAAAACATGAAAAAATGTTTACATGAGTAAGTATCTTAAATTACAAATATTTTTTGGTATTTAATTTTTTATTGTATTATGATAATCCATAAATCAATGGGATGTCATATTAATCAAATTTGTCGAGGAAGAATCGGGTTATCATGTCGAGAGCCCATTTCGGTTGATCCTGGGGCACCATGTGCCCTGCATCTCTGACCAGAACTTCTGTTAACGTTTTAGCCTTCTTGTAGAACCCAGCCAGTTCGCCATCTACCTTCCATTCCTTCCTCGGTGCAGTTCTGTATTCCTCAGAACCCGTCCAGTTCAGTTTTGACAAGAAGTTCTCCGTCAGTGGATATGCGACATAAATATCCAATTGGCCATTATAAAACATTATTCTGTAATATTCTAATAAAAATTCGACCCATGGTTTAACCGATTGCATCACGTCGTGCATAAGAATGTTATAAACTACAACATTTACACTATGATATGTACAATCACCGACGTGTATACTTTTCTTGACAACTTCTGTCTGCAGATACTCACTGAAGGTTCCTTCGGGTTTAAATGTATCACTTTGAATATAATTGTAGCCATTTATTTGAGGGCTAAACGAATTTACAATGTCATTCATAATTTCAAAAGCCTTGTAATACTGGCCTTGCTTAATATGTTCTACTGTTTTAGCTTCTTTTTGCTTAAGTATTTCTCTGGTATTAGCATCCACTATTCCAAGCTGATAGAGATAATCTGAATAAATCAACATGTTCTCCGGATCAGAATATCCGTCACCGATCGCTAACCCTTTCAAGTTGATCTTCTGTTTATTTATTTTGTTGTTGTTGTAGATCGTATAACCTATTGCGGGGATATATTTCCCTGCGTAAGACTCCCCACTGATGAAAAATTCGTTTTTTTGCAGATCCGGAAATAACTGGAAGAACTGTACTAAAATAGAGTAAAGATCTTCTCCTACCTTGACTTCGTCAGTCGCATATCCTGAATCGCTTTCGGTAAAGCTGAATCCTACCCCGACCGGGTTGTCGATGTAGATGACGTTGAATCGTTGAGACCAATAATATTGGCGTTTCTTTAAGGTTAGCTCATCGCTTACAGAGAATGGACCATTTTCGCAGAGAAGCCCGTAAAGAGAAGAACCTCCAGGTCCTCCCTGCAGCCAGAGCACTATTGGAGCGTTCTTGGTATCTACCTCAGAAGGGAAAAACCAGAAGAAGAGATTGGAGTTGAAGGTCTTGTTGACAGTGAAGTAGCCACTGTAGCTAGTAACGTTGGTACCCGGCAAAAATACCCTGGCTGCCTCCTGTCCTTCTTGTATCCTACCTTCTTCGATGTAAGGCGTCAGGAAGAGCGGTTCTCCTGCAGCTCCTGTGTCATCACTCTGTGGGATGGATCGGAACTTTCGATGTGGACTTAGAAGAGCACGATAACTGCTTAGGAAACACAGAACAATAAGTAAAATTAACCGATTCATTTGATAGACTTCAAAGAACTGTTCATTTAGTCAGCACTCTCAGATTTTATATTTTATGATGATACATTAACGACAAGACAATTAACGAGAGTTATTCAATTTACTTCTTTCAGAAATAGTAAATGTCATTGAGATAATTTATTGGCTATAAATCATTTGTAAGGTTTATTTTATCATGGAATTGAAAACTTCATTTGCACTTTTTTTTTTCATGCTCGGGTGTGTAACGCTAATTTAAGTAGAGTCATCTCGTATCGATTAATTGAAGTGTTTTTGCATATGGATTAAAATATTTCAGAAAATAAAAATCGCATTTGCAGACTGTAAGCAAGGGAGACGTTCAGGATTTTAATTCTATTTGTTTAATGACCTTTAAATTGAAATTGTATTTTGAATTTACGTTGAGTCAGAGAATCGGAAAGAGAAAACGATAGAGCCAAAAAATCAAATAAGAACAACTATTTTGAAATTTTTGACTAAAATATCTCAAAATTTTAATACCATGGAGAATTTAGAAACCTCTTTGCAGAAGTCAATATACTTTTTTTTTTTTTTAACTAGCCATAAAAATAATAAATGAGAATTATGTGTTTCAATTTAATTTTCTGTTGTACTCGATAAAGTTTCGCAATTACGGATCATCGTTACAGAAGTTATATTAAAAATCTGGTGCAGTGCGTGTATCATAAAACTTTCGCTTACCATCCTTAGAGTAGACAGGTATTTTCTTATGGGAAGTCGATGTGAAAACGACAATATAATTTAATTTGAAACAATTGTTTACGATGTTTTTTCCACCAATAAAAGAAGTTAAATTTATACATCACTTTCCATTTCCTTTTACGGCTGTGTATAGCAGAGATGGGCAGATGAATCGAGAATCGAATCAAAGAATCGATTCATATGAAAGAATCAAGATTCACTTCGGTAGAACATCTAGAAATATATGTAAACCAAATAGAGAGATAAAATAAATAAATAAACAAAATTGAAAAGTTAAATTAAATGTTTACATAATAATAAGTAATTAAAAATAAAAGTACAAGAGAGAGAAAAAAATTGTACACATATATGAATAAAACAAACATAGAGAAAAAAATAAACGAAATAGTAATGTCAATAAGCTTAACTTATAAATGTATGAAATACGAAGTGCTACTGGAAGAGTAGATTTGGAAAGCGAACAAAACAGCTCAGCCAACGATGCATAATAAAACTGGAAGATTTAGTATTCACAGAACTGGTGAATCGATCCTGCAATTCCTGATTCACCGATTTTGTTCTAGAAAATCTTCCAGTCGTGTTCCATTATTTGTTGGATTGTTATGTTTATTTTTCGAATCTACTCTTCCAAGAGTATTCGTATTCGGAGTATTCGGACATTTATAGCCTACGCTTATTTACATTACTATTTTGTTTATTTTTTTTCTCCCTGTTTGTTTTATTTATATCTATGTACAGTTTATGGTACTACTTCCGAAGTGCTACTCTTTCAACCATCTTAGTTGATGCCAGGTTATCCACAATGTTTCAGATAAGGTTTACAACAGACAGCACCAGGAAGCACCACCATTGCTGATGGGTAGTCTTGCCCCCTCCACCTCACCTTCATTTTAAGTAAATATAGAACTTATATCGTTTAGGTTACATATTACCCGCCTGTTTTAAAATTCATTTCCCACCATTTTCACTTCATTGGAAATAAATATCGATTGAATACCCATTCCTTTTTACATGTTATCCAAATTTTAATATATTAAAACTTCATTTTTTTTTCATTAAAGAAATCATATCTAATATTATTTATGCTTATAGTTTTCATATATATCTATCAAACAGATTTTCAGTTTAATAGAATACATACTGCTGTAATAATCTGTATCTCTTGTACTTAATTTTCAATTGCCTATTATTATATAAATATTTAATTTAATGTATGGTCATATTGTTATGTTTTATTTATTTTGTATTTATAATGTGTTCTACAGGGTCATCAGTCCGAGAATAATAAAATTACATTTCGTTTCATTTACCCAGGCCAAAATCTAATGTGTAAAAAAAAACTTTTCCTGTCCAATTTAAACCTCCTTCCTATTTATAAGATTCGTGACTTTTTATTAGTATATATTTGGACCTTTTTATTTAAATAAGTAAAAAAAAAATGTTTTTGCCTGAATAAGCATAAGGTTGTAACTTATTTTTTCAGTAAAAAGTTCTTTTTTAATTAAAAGAAAAAAAAAAAAAGATATATAGAAACGATCGAAGAATCTTTCATAAGAATCGATTCATTATAATGATTGAATCGGATCAGTTAAAAGAATCGAATTTTCCATTTGTAGAGGATAGAATCAAACAATACTAATGATTGTGGAGAAAAAAGGATCTCAATATTCTGAGTTTTGTCGGAAACATTTGTCACGATATTGAGTGAAAACCTTTTTAAAAAATTATGGATAATCAATACATAAAAGTTAAACTAACAATATGGAAGCCCGGTACAGAGATATATCGGATTATCTGTAAATGGAGAGGATCGGCAATAGTCGGACACTCTCGGCTAACTAGCCGAATTTGCTACATAGCTTATACCGTACGGCTTCCTATCTTTATTTCTCCATTAGTTACCAATAAATTTCCTTCATTGACTGGTTCAAATGTGAAATGGTTAATTATTTCAAATAAAGGTACTTTAGAGGAAGAAATTTTGAAAAAAAAAATGGCGTTTAAGCCCTGTCAGATTGCATTGATGATAATAAAACATAACTTAAACTAAAAACCACTTAATAATGCAGACCTAATGAGTTCAATCAAAATCGTTGAATCAGTTTTTAAGAAAATTGTAAAAATGTGTTAAATCGATAAAAACCGCTGATTTAGCCCGAGCTAGATACCTATCCTTTCATGATAAACTCCAGCCTTATCTAAATCCACTTTTTTCCATCCTTGCTTCTTCCTCGATTCCTGACAATCCCTCTAGGCGTCTGAAAAGAAGATGGCCTCGTGATCTTCTCACCAAGAATTAAATAGGGAGTACTACCACTGGGCAGTATCTCTTCAAGTCTGTTCATGTCATTATTTCTAATGTGTGCATTTTTACTTGTTGTATTGTTTATACAGTTGTAAATTTCATTAAATAAATTTTTTTTAAATCAATAAAATAAAGTACCACTTGCGGTTGGCTGATTTTAACGAACAAAATTCCGTAACATCCCAGGTATATACAAACCTTAAATACCCAATTTCATTTTCTTATGACTTTTCGTTTTTGAGCTAGACTGTTAACAAACACACAGGCCATTTTGTGGGGGGTCTTGGTTATTTGGACTTAGAGGACCTCAAAACGTGTATTTCCGTTAAAAACTGAGATTCGAAAATGTTCGTTAATCGTTAAAAGGAATATATTTTCCTTTACTATATATTTCATACATAGGAAGTGAAAGTAATAAAAAATGAGTTTTTGGTAGATATTTAGTAAATAGATTTCAATCAAAAGTACTCATCACATATTTTATTTATCATAAACCAAATGCGTCATTTTTAGAGTATGATACAAATGACTCAGTCAGAGTAAAGTTTACTACTGTAATTTATACACAGTTATAATTGTATATATTGTTATTACTTTGTTAATAAAGAACAAAAAAAGTTATTAATCTCGCCTTGAAGTTTTCTCTTTTATCGTCTGGTCTAATGCACTCATTGTAGTTTATTATTATTATTATTATTATTATTGTATTAAGGACATTACTGTCGTTATCCTTGACCTAAAGAATTTTTAAATATTCTTCCATCCTTCTCTATCTAAGGCTTGCTTGTTCTTCTCTGATACCATGCGCCTCCAGTCTTTCTTTCGCCGTTTCTTTCCATTTTACCTTTTTTTTTTTTCCTTCTCTCTAAAAAAGTTTTTTAGATGTTATGGAACAATGAAAAAAAGTGACCCAAGGAACACGTATTTTTCCTATATATAAATTAAGTTTGGGTTTATTGGTCAAAAGAATCTTTTATTTCATGTTTTTTATGATTTGGAATATATTATAATAAACATTTTTGCCTAAATACATTATAAAAAAAATTAAAAATAATAATTTTTCAGCTAAAATGGTTATGAAATTTTTTTTTCACCTAGATCTCTATTAAACGAATATTTATAACTGAAAAACTAAATGTATCTAATACTAAAATTTTCGTTGAAAATCAAGAAACCTGCCGATATCTTCAATTATTTTTATGTAAACGTAAATATTAGAACCAGGAGTTGTCACTTAAGGATATGGATCAATCTCTGTAATAGAGATCTGGGTGAAAACACAGTTTAATAATCTTTTTACCTGTAAAATATTAACAAAATTATTATTTTAAGAAATTTTTTTAATAAATAAAAAGTGTATTTAGGCAATTATTTTTATTACAATGCATCCCAAATCATAGAAAACATGAAACAAAAGTTCTGGATTAGTTAATTTTAGTCATGTTTGCTGAAAACACATGTACTTTAAGTTAATAGGATAATGAAATTATATCTTTTTTTACACAACTTGAGGTAAATACCAATTTTTTCACAAATAAACCTCAACTTAATTTATATATAGGAGAAATATTTGTATCTTGGGTCGCTTCATAACATCTAAAATAACAATAACTTTAAAAGTCCAAAATAGAATTTAGTTGTCATGCTTTCAAGATACTATGTTAATTTTTAAATTATTTTATCGCCAGATTTTGACTATGAAAAAAAATCATTTTTATAAATAATAAATGACCCAAGATAAAATTACTTGATAGGTACATCTGACACTGAGAAATATATGCAGGATGATGACCAGAAACAAAAACGGAATAACATCACTATTACAACCCTATGCAAATCCAAACCATACTTATCACAGAATCAAGGGATCAACAAAAACCAACAACGTTCACAAACCAGAGATACAGTATCATTACCTGCGAAAAAGTGCAAAGCCGGCTCAAATATTAAAACAAAGAAGACCAGAAATCCCACTGAAACCATACTTGGACCCGTGCGAACCATGATCTTAAACAACAAAAGCACTTACCCCCTCACTTACGAAAAAATATGTCTATTACTCGACATGACTCAGGGAGAAAATGAATCAAACGCTACTGATATCATGTCTCAGTTTACAAACAATGTAAACGGTCTGAAAACAATGCTCTCAGATATCAGAGACACAGTATCACATAGAGGGCTAAAAATCAGAACCTCAAAACTAATAAAGATTTTGAATGAAGATTTAAAAATAACACATGGTGATAATAATAATCTGGAAAATAAGAAACACTTTGCCAATCAAAATGAAAAAAATGGAAATCATTCAATAGAATTGTAACAGATTTTTCCGACATTTAGAGCACCTAAAAATGACAATAAGCGAAGAGAACCCTGTACTAGTTTGTCTCCAAGAAACACACTTTCAAGAAACTCGAACAGCAAAGATCGTCATGGGAAGACTTCGTATCTTCATTAAATCAAAGCATTTCAATGAAGGAGCTCTCGAATAAATTAAAAAGCATTAAGGGGATCTCCAAAACCAAGAAATTTCCTGGTATAAAGACTGGACAAGACATTATAACTGACCCTGACGAAATCGTTAACGAAAGTGATAAAACTCTGCAACAGAGTGAAATGTAAAGGCGTTGCCAATGACCCTACAGGGTAGAGGCAACCAAATACCAAATAAATAAATAAATAAAATAAAATTACTACAGCATTATTGTAAGCGACTGGCTATTTGGTGATCTGCTCTGAAGAAGACCTACAACGTAGGTCGAAACGTTGGACGATGTAATAAAATATACTATTATATTGTATAATATTGTATTTTTTACCCCACCACCCAACCATTTTTTCAGAAATACAATTACTATAGTTTACCATGGGCATCTACTTAAATCTTGGGCTATATTTGTTGTAATAGGAGTCATAATTATTATTCAATAATAAATATCATTTATCTACACTAAGCTAGCTTGTTCATGCCATCTGGTGAAAGCCCACAATATATTACGTTTGCAGTCAGTAAATAATATTTTTTAAACTTTTTCATTAAAAACCAGGAATCAAAGATTTATTCTCACAAAAGAAATATTTCAAAATTATATATTTATAAATTACCTTGGGCCGGTCCACAGTATGTTATAAAATAGAGGCTTAAATTACAAAGATATGCCTTAATTTTTTTGGAATTATAATTTTGAGTATGTTTATGTATTTTTTTAATTAAACATTATGATATCCAGGAAGGAAAAATTAATTTTCCAACTCTAAAACATTGTCAAAACGATAATTAAACGAGAAATCTTTGCTAAAAGAGGGATATCTGTAATCTAGTTGGAAAATGATAAAATAAAATCTCGAATAATTTATGACTTTTTAAAAACAGGACTTAACTTAGTTTATTCACTCAAAAGTCCTCTTTAAATGGTTTTAACAATGACAAACTCTATGTTCATTTGAATTGAATTTTATCCAGTTTACAGTAAAGCAATTAGTAATTACTTAAATCAAATATTTCTTTAGTTATCACTTTCTATTCAACAAAATATGACTCTTAAAAAACCACTAAACTTAAATCTTCTACTTTTCTTATGAAAATCGGACCTGTGTTTATATAAACTTTTTTATTGATCTTGAAGTCTGCTATTTCTCCTATATATATATAACCGGCATTTCTAAAAATTACATAATCGTGTTCCACTAGCGGATCCACCCGAAAGATTTTTTTTCATATACGTATAACAATAATTAATTAGAAAAAAAAAAGGAAGAAATTAACTACCTATATGAAATGGTGTTTAAGTGGTTCTTGAAGTCCAATTAAATGAAATTAAACTAACAAGAATACTTTAAGAGATAGATTTTAATTTTTTTTTTTTTTTGTAAAACATGGTTATATTTTAGGATTTTGATCCGTTATATTGCCCCGTTGATCCGCCTGTGTCGTGTTCTAGAAGTTCTAAAACGGCTGAAAACCACAACACCTCTTTCCACTGACGCCTTTCAATCCAGTGAAAATGTCTATTTTCTCCGAAGAAAAATTGACAAAAACAAATAAATTAACAATAAATTAAAATTCATAGTCATTAAACAGATGTTAAATTACTTCTTTAAATAAAACATAATACTCAATGTAAATCTGGTAGGTAGTGTTCCTACTTCCTTGACATACTTAAGAAGAGAAAAAATAAGTTAAATACAATCCCGACATTGTTCGAGAAATAACCGGGTAAATGAGTAAGTCTGTGGTGATCTGATAGTTGAAAGCTAAAGTAATTAACAAAAATTTTGGTCGAGAAACTTGACCGTGTAAAACGGCCTCTATAGGGAATAGTTTATATAAACATCACTAATTTCATGATTTTATTTTATTTGAAAAATATCTCAAAATTTTAAATCAATTCGTTGGTAATTTTTACATAATACTTATTGAATCATTTTTACTTAAAATATAAATTTATCGTGCATTTCAAATATAGTATCGGAAACATATCCTGTGTAATTGAAACATTACTTTCATTAGTTAAATATAGTATTTATAATAATTAAAACGGTTTATTGTAAACAAATCGAGTTATGAGATCTAGTGCCCACTTAGGCTGGTCTTGAGGCACCATGTGTCCTGCGTCTCTCACCAGAACTTCCGAGAACCCTCCAACAGTCTTCGAATATCCTGCCAGCTGATCCTGAACCAACCACTGCTTTCTGGGAGCATTCTTATACTTCTCAGCGCCGCTCCATTTCATCTTCTGCAAGAAGTTGACCGTTAGTGGATATGCAACGATTATGTCTAATTGGCCGTTGTAAAACAAAATTCTGTAATCCTCGATAAGAATTTCGACCCAGGGCTTGACTGACTGCAAGGAGTCGTTTAGGAGGTGTTCTTCGACCTTCGATCCGTCGTTGTATGTAAGACTGCCGACGTGTATAGCTTTCCTTACAACATCCGACTGTACATAAAGGTCATAATCACATCCGGAGGTGAAGTTATTATTTTGAATATAGTTATAAATATTTATGTGAGGGTCTATCAAAGCCATGATTCCGCCCAAATTTATCATTGCTTTCCTGTATTCTTTATTTCGAATATCTTTTACTATTTCGTCTTGTAATTTTATCATTGTTTCCTTGACATTAGAATCCACAATTCCGAGTTGATAAAGATAATCTGCATATACCATCATGTTCTCCGGATCAGTGAACCCGTCACCAATAGCTAAACCTTTCAAGTTGATCTTCTGTTTGTTTATTTTGTTGTTGTTATGGATCGTGTAACCGATTGCAGGGATGTACTTCCCAGCATAAGACTCACCACTGACGAAGAATTCGTTCTTCTGTAAATATGGAAACAACTGAAAGAACTGGCTCAAAGCGGAGTATAGATCTTGTCCTACCTTCACTTCGTCAGTCGCATATCCTGCATCATTCTCAGTAAAGCTGAATCCAGTCCCAACTGGGTTATCGATATAGATTACATTGAATAATTGTGACCAGTAATACTTACGAGTTATCAATTTTAGTTTTTTTACGAAAAACGGTCCATTTTCGCAGAAGAGTCCGAAGAGAGAAGAACCTCCGGGTCCGCCTTGAAGCCAAAGGACTACTGGCGCGTTCTTCGGGTCTGCCTCTGAAGGGAAGTACCAGAAGAAGAGATTGGAGTTGAAGGTCTTGTTGACGGTGAGGTATCCACTGTAGCTGGTAACGTTGGTACCAGGCAGTTTTACCTTCGCTGCTTCTTGTCCTTCTAGTATCTTACCTCCTTCAATGTAAGGCGTCAGGAAGAGTGGTTCTCCTACGTCACCGCTTGTTCGGAATGAACGAATTTTCGGATACGGATTAAAAAGAGCATGATTGCTATGTAGGCAAATCACTATAAGAAATAGAACAGCTAACCACCCCATCCCTGACCACACTGGCTGCACAACAGTTCGGGACTAAGAGAATTAAAGCTAGTTTAAATTTAAACTCGTATCTATGTTAGTTAAAGTTCCATCAATCAGCATAGCCTTTATTTGATCTCTCAATTGTCTTGATACAGCGTAGAGTGAATGTTTCAATCTTTTAATTTAGCCCGTTAAGAAGGTCAATGAGAATTGATTGAGGTGACGAAAAATTATGCAGTTCTAGCTCTCACGAACGATAATAACGAATAACATAAAATTAAAAATTGCATCGAGCTAAAAATAAAAATAATAATTAACTAGATCAATTTTATTTTCTACATTCGTTTCTATTGAATACGTAAATACATGCATTAAATAATAGTAGAAAAAATTGATAAAGGTTCATGTTGTACAAAAGCATCTCCTATAATACAAATCATTGCCATGAATAACTTCAGTGATTAGTATAAATACACTGATAAGATCCTAATCTGATACACTGATACGTGTATTTAAGATATTTCACAACCAACGTTTTGGGCTAATCCAGAAATGATCTTTACCTGTAGCTAAAAAAATAATTTTGTTCTAACTGCTGAAGAAGTCAGTATTGTTTACACCGAGCAAACTAAAAATTAAATTTTTCAAATGGATTTTTTTCCACAAATTTTAAAGATTCATAACATACAGCTAAAGTACAATGTGTACATGCATACTTTAATGAGAATTGTTTTAATTCGTAATTTTCTTTTTTTATTTATTTTTTTTATACTTCAAAGAATCTAATACGCAATTCGCAAATGTGGAACTTTTTCACTGGTGATCAAAACGGGATATCAATCCGCAAATGTTGTGAGACTATTTTTTGAATACAGCTTCTTCCGAGGTTCTTACCCGCAAACGAAAAATTATTGACCTTAAGATATAGGAAACTACACTGGCCTTACATGACAGACGTTTTTTATTTGTCGTATTTCATTATATTGTTAAAGTTTCGGGAAATATTTTCCCACCATCTGAACAATATCGCTATTCAAACCTAGGCACACACTATTAACAAAATTAAAACACAATATTATATTTATATATAGATATAATATATTTGTTTTGATTATATATATATTTTTATTTATTTAGTTTTTTTTGATTATATATATATTTCCTGTTGGCATTACAGACTATGTAGATCTTTTACCGACTTAACAATATATCTTGGCGCCTTATGTACATATGTATGTATATATATAGATATATTATTTACTTTTTTTTTAATTTTAATCTTTTTATTCTTGGCGCTACGGTCCTGTAAAAACCTGGACTCTCTTATGATCCTTCGCCACTCTCCTCTATCTCGAGCGAGCATTCTCCATCTTCGAATTCCCATCCTTTTCAGGCTGTCCTATCCCCTATTCCTGGTCCAGCCATCTCAGGCGTGGTCTTCCCCTTCCACGTTTTCCAGCAGGCCGATCCTCTAGCAAGTGCTTGGGAATCGCGTCTCGGGGCATACGCGCCACATGGCCCAACCATCTGATCTGGTTTCCCCTCACAATTGAGACCAAATCTGGCCTCGCATACATTTCATGCAGTTCTTTATTAGTGTGTGTTCAGGTTATCTACCTATGATAAAGTGTTATTGTGCTTCTCAGTGTTTTGTGTTTTTCAAGTTTGTTTTGTTAGTTTTGTTGTATCGTTTCCTACTGTTTGTGTTATTTTAGTGTTTTATAGTTTTTTTGAACATGATTTAGTTTTAGTTTATGTTTATTTAGTTAATTTTATAAACTTTTTGAGTGAACAGTGGAGGTTAAGGTTAACTTTGTGGTTTTCACGAAGGTTTAATCTAACCAAAAGGACGTTTAGAGACTATTACGTTGGTGAAGCACTAAGGTAAGTTCATATTAAAGTCTTACTTTTGAAGATAGGAAATTTATAAGTTTCCCGAACGTAGGTTAGATTTTGAGTGTTGAATATTTCCTTCTACTGTTGTTCACCCATTATTTCAACGTATAAAGTTGTTAATTTTGGATTGCGTAAGATGGCTGATGAAATTGCATCAGCAATGGAGCAGGAAATGGTGGAAGAACAGGCTATAAAGTGCCCAAGGCCTTCAGCAAAGAGGCAAAGGAAAGGATCTCCTGACGCCCGAGAAGAAGCAGATAAAGAACGTGTAGACGATAGTCTTCTGCAAGATGCACGTAGAATCAAAGAAAACATCAGGGTCTACATGAACGCAACAGACAGGAACGTGAGTGCGAAGGTACAAAAGCACGTTAATGGGAAAATGCAGCAGTTAATAGATATAATGGAGACAATATATGATAAGAACTATGAAAAAACGTTTTTAGTACAACGTGTGGTAAAGGACACATTAGCTTCCTCTGAAATGTATGATATCATAGTAAATGCATTAGTGGAAAAAGCAGTACCTATGGTTATCGAGGGACTCAAGTCGGAAAGTAAAACCATACAAAGACCACTGTCAGAACCTCAGACATCTCGGGAGTTTCCATGCGTTAAAGAACAACCGCTATTAGCCGATGCCCACGCTATTATTGAGACCACGGAGAATGAAAGTTTCCAGGAAGTAAAGAAAAAGCAAAGAAGGAAAAAGGCTCTTCCACAAGTGGCCAAAGAGATCGAGGCCTCTAAACCAATATCAGAGGAAAGTTTGACCAAGAAAAGGTCTACACATCAGACTACGATGGCCGATATTGTTAAAGGGCTTCCATTAAAACCGATGGATACTACAAGACCAACTTATGTTACCATCGCTTCTCAAGGTAAAAGTGCAGCTGACATCATCAACAATCTGCCTTCTCCAACTGAACTAGGAGTCAAGGCGAGAGTTGTACGGGCGACCAAAGCTGGCTCAGTTTTAGTTTGTGTAGATGAGGGTGCCCATGCTAAAAAAATAATTGAATGGCAAAAATTAAAAGAAGTTGGGATGGAGGCAAAACTAGCCTTAAAAAGAAAACCAAAAGTGGAGGTAAAAGGAGTTCCCCTTTCATGGAGTGCGGAAAATCTAGAAAGGGTGCTATGGGAAAGGTTGGCTGCAAAATCGGCCGTTATTTCTGAGAACCAATTAGGTAATATAAAGCCATTGTTCTCATCAATGGCTAGAAATAAAATTACCAATAATTGGGTGTTAGAAGTACATCCAATGGTAAGATATAATCTACTCAAGGAGGAAATAATTACAGGAGGTTGGTGGTCACTGACAATCTTAGATTACCCCGATGCTCCTCCCTGTCTAAGGTGTCAGGGATATGGACATACAAAAGCTACTTGTGAGGCAAATGGCATAGTATGCAAGTGGTGTGCGGCGAGTGGGCATATTGCTAAAAACTGTCCCGCAAAAGGAAATAAGACCGCACCTACATGCGTTAACTGCGTGAGGGAAGGTGTTCAAAAAAGTAAGGCTAAACACCAGGCAGGAAGTAGAGAATGCCCAGTGCACATCAAGAGATCTCAAGAATTAGTGAGGAGAACTCACTATGATTAGACTCAACATCCTGCAGTTGAATATGGGCCGCCGGCATATTGTGGCTGACGAGCTTCGCGCCATGGCACAACGCTACGATATCATGGCGGTCCAGGAACCTAGCTGCCGTGGGAACAGGGTTACGGGGTTTGGCCTCACGTCAAGAGTTATAGCCCTGAGCAGTGGAGAGAGGAGGCCCAGGGCTGCAATAGTGATTAATAATCCTAACCTTGACGTGATGGATCTGAGGCAACACACCATGGCGGATTATGCGTCTTGCTACGTTAAGTGGGGCAAGATTTCTTTCACATTGGTATCGGCATACCTACCTGTGAATAGTGATGTAGAAGAAAGCATATCCGCTATGGAGGCGATCATTAGAGAGATGAGGAATGTGATCATGTGCTCAGATACCAACTCCTGGAACACGGTCTGGGGGTCCAATATTACTGACAGGCGAGGCGCTAAAATGGGAAATTTCATAGGCAGAAATCACCTTGTCGTGATGAACGAACCCTCTGCCACCCCCACCTTCTCTGGAGGCATGGGGCAGAGTTGGATTGACGTCACGATCGCCACGCCTGCGCTTACGAGGTATATTGCTGATTGGACTCTCAGATCTGATACGAGTTCCGATCACGTTGCGATAGCAATTGGCCTGGTAAATGAGCCAGGATGTTCCCCCGGTACTGATAAGGGTTTCGTCACTAAAATAAATGACTGGAGTGTCTTCAGGTCCTACCTGGAAGGAGTGATTGCAGACGAGGAGTGGGAAGCGGCAGAGATGGATGTAGTTGACAATCTGGACTACAAGGTGTCCAGGATTACCAACAACATTCGTGATGCTGCCGAACACTCCCTCAAGCACCGGAAGGCGAGGGTTCGACCTGTCCCATGGTGGACGCCAGCCTTAACTGTTCTAAAACGAGACCTCTACAAGGCCCGGCGGTCATATCAGAGGTGCAGATGCGAAGAGAGGCGCACTGTACTTCGCAATGAGTACAAGTCAAAAGCCAGGATATACCGAAACGAGGTTCGCTCACAAAAGCGGAAGTCTTGGGATGATTTCATCATTGAAGAGTCTTCGAAGAATCCCTGGGGTATTCCGTATAGGGTAGCATTGGGTAAGTTGTCCCCGATGCAGACTATTGCAGCCTTGCGGTATCATAATACTGAGGCAACCACCCTTGAAGAAACTGCCAATGTTTTCATTGAAGCAATATATCCCAGAGATGACCCAACCCAGGACAGCGAAAATGATGATTTTGTGAGACGCACCACGGTATATCCACCTGGTTCAGATTTGTGCCCACCATGGGACATTCACGATCTTCGTATTGCCGTGGATAAGCAGAAGACTAATCGTGCTCCAGGACTTGATGCAATAGATGCAGCGATCTTGAGGAACAGTATCACGTATATTGAAGACCGGCTGTTGAGTATTTTCAATGAATGTCTGGATATGGGATACTTTCCAAGAAGATGGAAGATCGCTGATTTGAGACTACTCTACAAGGGAGGAGATAGGGACAAACAACTCCCTAATTCATATAGACCTATATGTCT